GGGTCGCTTGGGTCGCTGACCCCGTTTGCATTGACCCCTGCCTCTTTTGAGCAGGGACCGACCGTCCCGGCATTCCTACAGTCCTACCACTAAGTGTTCCTAGAACCCAAAATTCTTCTACGAGCCAAACAATGTTCTCAGAGCATAAGCCCGATGTGGTAAGCCAAAGCCAGTCCCAGCCAGAAATGCTCTGAGAAGATTCCGTGGAAACCACAAAAGGTTCTTAGAACATTGTTCGGTAGACCTATAGCCTATAGGCGAGCCAGGACGCTTCGCCACTGCTTGAGGCTCGCAGGCCCCGAGAGGGCCGCCGCCGCCGCCGCCTCGGGCCCGCCCTCCTCCGCGTGGGCCACGTCCGCAGGCACGCGGAGCCCATGCGCTCCACCACCGCGCGGGGCATCAGCACGGACACCAGCGTCGCACACACGCCGGCCCGGGCCGCCCAGGAGGACGGGCGCAGCGCGAGCCCCACGGGGGAGCCGAGCGCGACCAGGGGCGCCACGACACAGCGGAGGAACCACAACAGGAACGAGCAGCAGCTGTCGGACCTCCGCGCGGACTCGTTCCTCGGATCGGCGCCGGACCCCAAGGGGGGCCCGGCGCCGACCCGAGAAACCCGCGCGGAGACCCAAGAGTCTGCGTGCCGTGCCGTTGTCTGCTCTTCGGCATAGGCGAGCGAGAAGACCGAGGCACAGAGGAAACCGACGCGGCGCTCCAGAGCCGTGGACTCCGCGTACGAGCGGGTAGGCTTGTCCAGCGGCATCTGGTTCTGAGCAGGCCCGGCGCGGGGCTGGGACTTATCCACGCCAACCGCCTGGGGAGCTGGTGCCCTGAGGGGCAACGATAGGCGAGGATAGGCATAGGGGGGAAACATCAATCTGGAATCGGCGATACATCGCCGATAGATCGGCGACAGGCCCCCGACAGTGAAGCCGCACCCTCCTGGGCAGGTTGGGGCCATCGGGCCCCTATCGGCGATCAGTGGGCGATTGGGGGTCGATGCATCCGCCCCCTATGCCTATCCCCGCAGGTTTTTCGGGCCATAACTCAGGCCTCCGGCGGCCGTTTGGAACGATCCCAGCACCCCTGGAACGCCCTCGACGAGGCGCAGCTGCTGGAACGCATCCCGAGGCTGGAAAGCCGCCGCGAACCAACGAGAACGACCGAAAACCTAGAACCTCGAATCGATGCCCCTGATGCCTATCCCCCCCTTATCGTTGCCCCTGATGCCCTGGGACCCGGGGAAGCGGTGGCCACGGACACGGTTCGGACCCAGCGGGCCCGAGCATCTCCGTGCCCCCCGCCCGCCGAGGTCCCCAACAGTGGAGGGGCCCAGGGAGGCACGAAGGAGTGTACACTAATTCCTGGATTCCACACAGACATATCTATGCATGTATGTATGTATGTATGAATGTAGGTAGGTAGGTAGGTAGGTAGGTGGGTGGGTGGGTGGGTGGGTGGGTGGGTGGGTGGGTGGGGGTGGGTGGTGGGGTGGGTGGGTGGGTAGGTAGGTAGGTAGGTAGGTAGGTAGATATGGTTGTATGTATAGATGTATGTACGTGTGTGTGTGTGTGAATGTATGAATGTACGTATGTATGTATGTATGTATGTATATATGGATGGATGGATGGACGTGCGTACGTAAGTATGTACGTGTACGTGTGTGTATACAGGTAGCATGTATGTAAGTATGCATGTATGCATGTATGCATGTATGTAGGTAGGTAGGTAGATAGGTAGGTAGGTAGACAGATAGGTAGGTAGGTAGGTAGGTGTATGTGTGTATGCATATATGTATGTACGTGTGTATGCATGTATGTATGTATGTATGCATGTATGTATGTGTGTATGTATGTATGTGTGTATGTGTGTATGTACGTATGTCTGCATGTACAGACATGCGTACGTATGTATGTATGTATGTATGTATGTATGTATGGGTGTATGTTTATGTACGTATGTGTATATGTATGTATGTATGTACGTGTGCTTGTATATGTGTATGCATGTATATATGTATGTATGGATGTGTGTATGTATGTATGTACGTGTGTGTACGTATGTATGTATATATGTATGTGTATGCATTATGTATGTATGTACGTACGTACGTATGTATGTATACGTGCAGGCATGCAGGTATGTGTGCATGAACGTATGTGAATGTGTATGGCATGTATGTGCGTATACATGCATGGCAGTGTGTATGGATGTATGTATACATGCATACATAACTGTAGGTGTGTATGGCTGTATGGATGTATGTATGGATGTATGTGTGTATGTGGGAATGTGGGTATGTATGTATGCATGTACGTGCGTACGTACATGCGTGTATGTATGTATGTATGCATGTATGTATGTGTGGATGTGGGTATGATTGTATGTATGTGTGGTTGTGTGTATGCATGCATGTATGCAAATATGTAAATATGTATGTGTATGTGTATGTGTACGTGTACGTGTATGTGTATGCGTATGTGTATGTGTAGGTGTATGTGTATGTGTATGTGTATGTGTATGTATGTGTGTATGTGTGTATGCGTGTATGTGCGTATGTATGTATGTATGTGTGTGTATGTATATATGTATGTATGTAGGTAGGTAGGCAGGCAGGCAGGCAGGCAGGCAGGTAGGTAGGTAGGTGTGCATGTAGGTAGGTATGCATGTTGGTATGTAGACATGTAGGTATGTAGGTGTGTATGTATGTATGTATGTACAGAGTACGGTTGATTGTCGTCGTCCCCTCCGTCTCCCCTACGTTCCACACTCCCTTGGACATCGACAATATGTTGTGTATGTGTGCACTGCGTTGCCCTCCTGAAAAGCATCGATCCACCAGGCGGTGTCTATGGAGCAAGTCCCCGCCGCGCGAGCCAGGTCCCCGAGGCTGCGAGGGCCGAGCGCCCCCCGTGCAAGCCAGAGCGCGCGGCCAGGGCCAGAGTGCTTGCGGGTGCTGGCAGTGCTGGCGGCGATGGCCGTGCAGGGCTCTGGCCGGAAGCTCCCTCCCAACTGCTCACCCTTCCTCATCCTTCCTTTTCATCCTCCTTCCTCCTCCTCCTCCTCCTCCTCCTCCTCCTCCCCCTCCTCCTCCTCCTCCTCCCTCCTCCTCCTCCTCCTCCTCTCCTCCTCCTCCTCCTCCTCTCCTCTCCTCCTCCTCCTCCTCCTCCTCCTCCTCCTCCTCCTCCTCCTCCTCCTCCTCCTCCTCCTCCTCCTCCTCCGTGCAGGAGCATGGCCTATCCACCCCCATAGTCATCACCCCGACAAGCGAGGCCGCTCAGTAAACGCCCCCAAGGAAGGACCCGAACAGGGCAGGGCTGTTCAGTAAACGCCGATTGTCGGGGCCCAGGCGGTTTGCCCTTCCTTGGCAGAGGTCTCCCAGATGGGGTCCGAGTGAATGGGATCGGAGGATCGCGCCGCATCGCCGATGCATCAGCGATGCATCAGCGGCGACGGCAACGCACCAGCGACGCCGTCGTGGAGAAAGTCGGTCTTCTCATCGAGCCGCAACGGCGATGCATCGGCGACATCGGCGATGCAACGCGATCCTCCGACCCCTGCGCCTGCCCCGCCCGCCGCAATAGTAGTGAAGGTCGTTCTAGGGGTATGGGTTCCTCGGTGGCGAGGCGTTGGAGTTGGATCGATCACTCCAAATGGGCAGATGTTGCCACAAGCCTGGCAAAAGTAGCCCGAATTGACCCGCGATGGCGTCCAACAGGGCGACAAAAGGCCTCAAACTGATTCTGAGGTGGCCCCCGTGCCTCCCAGGATGCCCCCGAGAGGCCAAAGCCTTCACCATGATAGATGTAACGATGTTCGCCATCCCGTCTCTTCGGCTTCCGATGGTCTCAGAGGCCCGAAGATGCTCCTGAGATCGCACTGAAGCCTCCCAAGAACACACCAAGAGAAATCCAAGAAACCATAAGAGTAATGGTCCTTCACATTCGCAGGGGGGGCCCCATTGGAAGCCCACCGCTTTTCGTCGATCGCCTCCGGGATGCCGAAAGGGCACCCCGAAAGTACTATGACGAAGCACGCTGAAAGCAATGCCAAGCTCCATCGCTTCGCTCTTGCCTCTCGCTATAGAAGGGCGCCCTGGGGTCGTGTCTGCGGGCGGGCCTGGCTCGGTGCGTCCTGTCTGGGGCGTGTCCCGCAGAGTGTCCGAGAGCGTGTCAGGGGGCCGTGCCTGGGGCCTTCTCTGAAGACGTGTCCAAGGGCGTGCCCACAGACGTGCCGGGGGCCGCGTCGGGCGACGTGCCCGAAGGCGTGCCCAGATGACGTGCCCGGGGCCGAGTCCGAGAGCGCGTGTCCGAGCGCGCGTCGGGGCACGGGCCCCGGGGCCGTGACAAAAGGGACTCGCATGGGGACATGTCTGGGGGCGGGACTGGGGGCGTGACTGGATACTCCGGATGGGGTACTTATCAAAGGGGGGGGGTGATAAACCTTCCGACTGAGCTTGCCCAGTTCCGCCCCCTCCGCCCTCCTCCCCCTCCTCATCCTCCTCCTCTTCCTCCGACCCCCCTCCACCCATTCTGACAGCACGTGCCCAACCATCCCCACCGGATCCAAGCGGGGGGGGATGATTGCCCCATCCGGGGTACGTGTCTGAAGACGCGCCTGTGAGTGTGACTGGGGTAATGATGACTTGGGGCGTTCCCTGCGACGTCTGGGGGGCGTGGCCGCGGGTTGTATCAGGTAGCGGCCCTAGGGACCTGACTCGGGACGCTCCAGGGGACGTGCCTACGGGGGGCGTGTCAGGGGACGGTCCCTGGAGACGCGTCTGGGGACGCGCCTGGGGGGCCGTCTCTGGGGTGGGGCCGCCTGTGGACAAGCTCGGTGACGAGTCAGGCGACGTGCCTTTGGCGGGCGCTACCCGCCCCTGCTTTCCCCAGCTCTGCACGGCTCCCCTGCCCGTCCCCGGGTAGCACGGCAGCAGAGGGGGGAGGGACATGGGGAGGGCGAGAAGGACGAGGAAGAGTCACTCCGCCGCCCCTCCCCTCCGTAGTTGTTCCAGATCTGATCGCCAGGCTTCACGGGGCCATCGCAGACGAACTCCAGGCTGTTCGCTCGGACCCTGATGCTCACGTCGGCCGCGTGCCTGTGGTTCAGGACGTCCAGCAGCGGGATCATGCAAAGATCACCTAGAAGACAAAACAACATAAGCATGCACTGTCCGCTCGGATTTCTCGGATCGGCGCTGGCTGGACCCCCTCCCCAACGCACGGAGCTCGCCAAGGGCTTGGCCGGACGCGCCGCCGGGGAGGAACAAGAAATCAGAGCAGATACCCGAAAAACTGTACGAACCTTTCCCAGGGTGAAATCTGACCAGAGTGCGAGGATACTCCAACCGTGGCGACGCGGAAACTCCAAGACGAACAGCGGTAGCGTTGTCTGTTCCTCCTCTGAAGCTCGCCGTCGCGCCCGGGCACGCCGCCGAACGCGCCTGGGAAGTGGCGGGACTGCAGCATGCCCCGCGCCTGAGGGGCAACGCTATGCGTTAGGGATGGACCAGCTCGGGTGGGCAGGGGAGCATCGACCTGGAATCGGGGATACACTGCCGATGGATCGGCGAAAGGCATTCGATAGTGAATCCGCACGCTCCTGGGCGGAGTGGGCTATCGGTAACGTTCGGGTCTTGACTCGGCTCTCTGGCTGCCCTTTGAGATGATCTGGGCACCACCAGAACGCTCTCGGCAAGGCGCAGCCGCTGGAAGGCATCCCGAGACTGGGAAGCCGACGAGAACCAACAAAAACGCCCAAAAAGCCCTGGCAAAGCGGCGGGGCGCAACTGACGGAAACCACCCGCAGTCTGGCAAACTTGCGAACACGTGGGGTAACGTTCGAACACCATCCTCCGAAGACGTTCGAAAACTATCCTTAGGTCGGGCATGTCCCCCTACAGGCGGATTTTGGGGCGAACAATAAACAATTGACAACACAGATTCAACAATGATCAAAAATAGTTTTTACAAAATTGTCCCCCGACTAATGTTTCACTATTTTTGGATACTCCGCTTGTAGAGGGACAGGCCCGACTTAAAACTATCCCCCTGAGCCCCCCGTCTCCCCTCGGCGGCGAGCCCAGGGGGGTACAGTGGGATGCGGCAGGCTGTCTCAGAAGGCGGCGGGACTTCTCGGAATACCTCTCGCCCTCTGAGAAGCTGGTCCCTGTCTTCGGAGAAAGCGTACTCCGAGTTTCTTAATAAGCGTCGAGGCGGCGCCACCCCCGCCGACAGCCCCACATCGACCCCCGTCGCGGGCAGCCACCGCGAGCCGAAGGCGCTCCGACTCCCGTCGCGGCGCGACGACAAAGCAAGGTTGACAGTCTTGAGGCCCCCAAGAAGGCTGTCTTGAAGCCCCCTTGAGGGCCTCGGCCATCTTGGGGCGATCCCGGAAGCCTCTTGGGCCGTCGCGAACGCTGCTACGACACAAAAAGCGTAGATGCTGAAAATGTACGTTTTCAATGAAGAATCCACGCTTACTAAGAAACCCAGAGTAAGTAAAAGCATGAAATAGGAAGAAGTTGAAAGCATATTGGGTTCCGTCCGCCCCCTGAGGAGGACGAACAAGGTGAAGCCACTCGATCATTGAAGAAGAAAGGAGTAGACTGGAATTTGGGAATCCCAAAATACCTACTCTTTCAACGGCCTAGACAACTGAAAGAGGCCAGCGGCCCTCCGAGCCGTCGAGGAGGGGCCCGGGCCCTGGGACACATAAAAAAAATAAGCACAAACAACAAGATTCCCCACATTTCCCATATTTTCTGAGTTGTTGTCTTCCGCCCCCCCCCCACACTTCCCCGATTTCCCCTGATCTTCTGCGGAATTTGACGATTCACTGCGTCTGTGTGTGCTTGTTTTCCCTCCCGACCGCCTCGGGGGGACGCCCCCGGGGAGGCGGGCGCCCCAGGGAGGGGGGCGGCCCGCAGGCCCCGGGGCCCGAAGGGCGCGTGCGCGGCCCACGGGGGGGCCCGGGAGACGCACGGGAAGGAGGAGGAGCGGGGCCACGAGCGCTGGGAGACTTGGGCGTGGCTTAACGGGGGGGTCACAAATGGGGGGGTCAGGAACGGTCCCCTTTCGTGCCCCTTTCGGGCCCCTCCGGAGCCCCAGGGGGCTCGTTTAGGCACCGTTTGGGTACCTTTTCGTACCACTCTCGCCACCCCCCCATGTATGACCCCCCTATTACGCAACGCCCAAGAGACATCAGTGAAGGGGCCCCGGGACACACAAATAAGTACACGCTCATAACAGGAGTCCCCATAGTTTCTCATATTTTCTTGGTTTTCGTCTGCCCCCCCGCTTCCCATATTTTCCTCTATTTTCCTGGGAGTCGACGATGAATTGTGCCTGTGTGTTTCCCTCCTTCATCATGGACCCCGCCATGAGATTCCCCCCCCCACTTTAGTCGTCACCCCCCCGGACGCCCCCCCTCAAGATCAATCCGCATAGAACCGGCAAGTCGGATCTGATCGAGGTGTGCACATCGCATCGGATCGCAGCGGGACGGAATCGGAATCGAGTCGGGTCGGCTGCGCCAAGATGCACAACAACGCCATGCAAGCATCGGGGCGCACCATCGGGGATGGACAGAACCCCCACTCGCAAAACGTGGTTTAGTGAAAACGACCTCGGGCCCAAACCTGGCGGGCGCAAGCCTGGAAAATGACGGCCGCGGCGCCCTCTCGAGAACCGAAAGCGGACGACTCCCTCATCGACGTGTCGGGGGGGGGCGTTCTGCCCACCCCCGACACCAGAGCGTCGGAGCGCCGGGATCGAGCCGGGATCGAGCCGGACCGTGCCTGGCCCGAGTCGCCAGCGAATCGGATCGATCGGATCGATAGGGGGCCCTGCCTCGCGGATGCTCCAGGACGCCCCCCCTGGGGCTCGCAGCCGATCCCGGAGACACCAGAGAGTACCAGTACTGCTACTCTGAAGGGGCCCAGGGACACACAAATAAATACACACACACATCCCAGGATTCCCCTTCATTTTCCCGCATGTTCTGGGTGTTATTATTCAGATTATTATTATTGTGATTAGTGGTATTACTATCGATCTTAATTTCTCTTATTCTTCTTCTTCTTCTTCCACTTCTTCTTCCTCCTCTTCCCCCCCACCGTCCATAGTTTCCCAGATGTTCCTGGGAATCGACGGTCCACTGTGCCTGTGATTTCTCCCCCCCTGGTACTCCCGAGACCTCTCCTGGGGCGCGTTCTGGCGGAAGTGTCGGGGCGAATCGGGCCGTGCCGACGAGGGCCTCCCGGGAGGCTCCAACAATGCCACAACGAGGGAAGCGTAGCGGCATGGCATGGGTCCTCCTCTGGGAGCCGGGAGCCGACGAGAACCTCCGAAAGCGTGTGTCGGAGGCCTGGAGGTCGACGGCAACACTCACAGCGGCGGTGTGTCTCCACCGAGGGGGACTGGCCCCTATCTCGGTGATGGTGGTAGTGTTCGGACTTCCTAGGTTCAAGGGCCCAGGGACACACAAAGAAATAGACACAAATCCCAAGATTTCTCATACTTGTCCATCTGTTCTGGGTTGCCGTCTCCCTCTGGATATCGACGCTTATTTGTATATGTATGTGCTTTCCCCTCCTGACAGGTGGCCGAAAGAGAACCACGGACACCAAAACCTGGGATCATTTTCTCCTGGTGGCACCTCTCCCTCATCCCTCCCCGGGGCTCGGCGCCGATCCCCCCCCCGACGAGGCTGCCCCGAGCGCCCACAGCAGCGGGAATGCGCTTCTTAGAAGGAGGCTGCTCCTCAGAGGGCCCTACATCTATAGACGAGGCCCGCGCCTTCTGAGAAGACGAGGTGTTTCTAAGAAGCCCTCCCCCCACCCACCCACCTCCCCCGCGTGGCTGACACGACCAGAAAACTAACGACACCACCCCACCTACGCCCCCACGGGGCTCAGCGTATGCCAGGAAGTCCGGTGTGGGTTTCCACAGAGATCTGGAGTGGTTGTTTGAGTGGTATGCGCTACGGCGCCCGATGGGCCGCAGCGAAACTGGGGGGGCCGTACAGTGAGAGCTCGACCACAAGAAACCTTCCACAAGAAACCCAATCCTGAGACCCCAGGACGTCCACTGATCTTTGGTGTGGGACACGTCGCGCATTCCATAACAAAACCATCGAAACCCAAGAAACCCAGGGCACCCCGGAGGCAAGCAGGGTAATCTCGGCATGGGTTTCCACCGTGGGTGGGGTGGTGTCGTTTGTTTCTTGGTCGACTCACCCTAGAGGGCTCCTAGATGGGGTCCGGTCGGAGGATCGCGCCGCATCGGCGATACATTGGCGATGTATCGGCGATGCATCGGCGATGCACTGGCGACGCACCGTCGACGTCGGCGACGTCCGTGTGAAGAAAATCGGACTCTGCATCGAGCCGCATTGTCGATGCAGGCGGTGCATCGCCGATGCATCGCCGATGCATCGGCGATGCGGCGCGATCCTCCGACCCCGTCTACTCTGACCCCATCTAGGAGGCCTAGTCTTGGACCGCGGCCCGGTCAGCGAGAGCGGCCGAGCGGGCCCGCATGCCTCGGAGAGGGCTGCGGGGGGCAGCGGCGTGAGACCGACCCTCCCTCTCCCGCTCCCCCTCCCCCTCCCCCCCTCCCCCTCCCCCCCTCCTCCCCCTCCTCCTCCTCCTCCTCCTCCTCCTCCTCCTCCTCCTCCTCCTCCTCCTCCTCCTCCTCCTCCTCCTCCTCTTCCTCCGACCACACTTACTCCGACCCCATCTAGGAGGCCTAGAGACCCCTGGGCTCGCCGCCGACCCTCCCTGGCATTGCCCCCCGGCGCCCACAGCAGCCGGGGGCGCTCGAACGCCCCCTCTGGTAGCAGCAGCCCAGGGCTGGCGCCCTCCGCCCTGCGCAGCAGCGCGCACCACTCCTCCCGGGGCCCAGGGCGGAGGGAGGAGGAGGAGGAGGAGGAGGAGGAGTTTTTTTTGCTAGGAGCTGCAGGCAGCACAAGCATCAGGAAACCTGAGATTGAACGCCTGGTGAAACAGACACGGATCACGAAGAGATCCGACCACCCCCACTGCAAGAGGAGGTTGAGGGTGTAGGGGCACTGTGCCCACTATACCCTTCACCCCAGGAGCTGATTCCGCACCTGGGAGGCAATCCCTTCCTGAGGCGCTGCAGCGAAGTGTACTGCGCCTTGACAAGATCATGTCGACCATATTGGTCGACTTCACACAAACCTGTTAGAAAACCAGGATTCGCAGAGGACGTGTACCGTCCGCATTTACTACAAAAGCAATATGAGCCTTTCTCCCACAAGTCGTGGGAGGTGTGAAGCATCTTGCCAAGAAATCCCCTGCCTTCAAGACGCCTCGGCGGGTGCGATCCACAGACAGTCCTGAAAAGAGCCTCATCTATGGGCGGAAGCCTTAAAAACTTATCCGAGAGCACAACAGCTCCTGGCCTCCTTCCTCCACCTCCACCAGAAGCTTCTGCATCAGGAGGCTCTTGGGCGGGACCGGGGGGGCGGGCGGGGCAGGCAGTCCTCAGGTAGGCCATGACGGATGAGCTGCTGGAGAGGACCAGCTTGCCACACCTGAGACAACGCCAGCCCGCACCTATGGCCTGAAAACGGTGGGAGGAGGCTGCCGCTGCCGCCTCGCGCCTCTTAGTCCGCCTCTCATCGGGAGGGACTGGCACGGGCTTGACCTCTCGGAGCGGCACACGAGGACATGAGGCAGCAGCAATTGACAAACTCGCATTGCGGAGAAGAACCGACTCAGCCTTGGCGACGAGGTCGAGAGCTCTCTTGCAAACATCAGGGGCGATCTGGCAAAGCTCGCACCTAGAGTCCGCAAGGCCGTCCGCTACTGAGTTGATGAAGATAGCCCCAGGGGGGGCACCTGCAGCCAGCCTCTGAAACTTCTCCTCCTCCTCCTCCTCCTTCTCCTCCTCCCCCTCCTCCTGGCGAGGTGGCGAGGCCCTCACCCCGACGTCCGCCGAGACGTCGTGCTCTTCCGTCCGCGGCCCCGAGTGCCAACCGCTTCCTGCAGGGGCCAGCCTCCCTTTCCCGAGCCCGAAGGGGGCGCGGTCTTGCTCAGACTCTGGCAGTGCGCCTGGCATGGCATTTCCCCCCACCCCCCGCCGCCGCTTCCAACACAGGGCTGGGGGGAAAAGAGGCGTCCAAACAATGGAGCCCTTGACCTGCTGGGAGTCCAGATCTCCCGTCCGGGCCTCGCCACGCGCCAGCATCTGAACAAGAACTATGTCAAAGGGCAACAGAGGCCGAAATCGAGAAGAACGACCGGGTTGAACAAAATCACCAACAAAAGGCTCCCAGAGACCACACAATTCCTCCCCGGATGCCCCCGAGAGCCTTCCTAAGAGACCACAAGAAGCATCCCTGAGGGCTCGGACCCACGTCAGCGTCGTCGTCGTTGTCGCCGCCGCCGCCGTCTTCGTCGACGTCCCCCTTCAGGGTCGGCGGCACCGGCCGTAAGGCCTTCGCAATCGAGGAAAACACCCAGGCTGAACAAAAAGCGTGTCGTCAGACCTCCGTGCAGGGTCCCCTCACGGCCTTGCCACGCGCCGGAATCCGCCGACCCCTTGTGGGCTCTAGGCGTGTGCGAGTCCCCCCCCATAATCCCCAAACTAGCAATTTGACCCCCCCCCAAGGGCCGAGCGCGACCCTGGACCGAACGCGCCACGGGGGAGCGGGGGGCTCCAACTGGCCAAACAGGCACCAACACGCTCCCCAGACGGCCCCAGGGGGCCACGATTCGCCGACATATCGCCCCTGGACGCCCACGATGGCCTCCAGGCGGCCTCCGAAGCTGCCAAGACGCCCCAAAGGCCCCCAAGGTGTGCCCCTAAGAGGGCCCCAAGAAACACAAATCGGCCCACTCTCCGCGAAAAAAATAAATTTCTGGCATGCTCGCCTATTCGGCTCTGAAACCCTCCACAACGGGCAAAGAAACCTTCAATATCGTTCCCAGACGGCCAAAAGGTGCCCCCAAACAGGGTCGAAGAGGGTCCAACAACAGCCCACGAAACCCCCAAAACAGCCCAAGAGGGCCCCCAGACGGCTCCAAGACGGAGTCCAGAGTGCACCTTTCCGAGCCTTCGGCCCCAAGACGCCCCCAGCCTTCCCCAAGAACCCCCCAAGAGGCCCTGAGGAACCCCTAAGAGAACCCCAAAGGCCTCCAAGAAACCCCCAGGAAGCCCCAAAAACTTGGCCCAAGATGCATCGAGGCGGCCAGGTATGTCCTGCAGACAAGCCAAGATGCTACCAAAAGGCAGCAAAAGAGCACCGAGAGGCACGATAACAGCAACGAAGCAACAGGAACGATGTCGAGCGCCATGTCGCTGATGCGGACAAGCCTCGTGAAATGCAGTCCTGGAGGCGCAATAATTTATATAGGGGTCAGCGGATGTGGCGTAAGCCTGTAGATCCACGACCAGAGGTGACGCGCTGAGCGGCACCATTTTCTGGCGAACGCCTTAATTAATGCAACGTGTCCGTTGTATGTTGCCACATGTTGCTTTGTGTCACATTCTTATGTCTCTCCCCCTACCCCCCCCCCTCCAAGGGGCTCCAGAGATTGCCGAATTGCCACACATTGGATTGTGTTACACTATCATGTCTCCCCCCCTAACGCCCCCACGGGCTACCCCACATCCGTCGACCCAAAGTGGCCACCCCCATTTGGGGCTCGAAAGCGTACCAAAACCTATGTATAATCGATGATTCGGGAGTTTGAAGCCCTCTGGGAGGCCGAATTCGGCCTCAGGACGGTTCCATATGGCTTCAAGACAGGCCAATACGGCTCCAGGACGGTCCACGATGGCCGCAAAAGGGCCCAAGAAACTCCTAAGACGTCCCAGGAGGGCCCCAAGAAGACCCCCAAGAGTGCCTCAAGAGGCCACAATCATCAATTTTCCTATAGTTGTTTAATGATTTTAACATTCTCGCCTTTCTCGACTCGCGAAAGCCCATGGCCGCCCAGGCAACCGCCAAAATTGCTTCCCCAAAAAAAAAAAAAAAAAAAAAAAAAACCCAAAAGGGCATCCAAACGGCCCAGGAGGGCCCCAAGACGGCCCAAAGAGGCCCTCAAAACGGTCCAAGAGGCCCCTGGGACGGCCCAAAATGACCCCAAGAGAACCCCAAGGCGGCCGCGCGAGGCCCCCAAGACGGCCTCCGAGGGGGCGGAACGGCGCAGAAGCGCCCCAAGACGGCCCAAGACGCCCCCAACAGGCCCCGAGAGGCCCCCAAGAGGCCCCCAAGAGGCCCCCAAGGGGCTCAACAAAAAAAACCCAAGAGGCCTCCAAGAAGTCCCCAAGAAGCCTCCAAGAAACCTCAAAGAAGCCCCCACAAGGCCACACAACAACTGGAGTGTAATTATATTTCCCCCCCCCCCCCTGGGCGAACTGCGGCGCAGCGCCAGCCAGGTGGAAGTTGGTCACGGCGGCGCCCATGATTAGAGCCGGCGCTGGAAGGGAAAATGGGGAGGGAGTATGAAAAAGTGGGGGGGGGGGGAGAGGCCCAAAGAAGCTCCCAAGAGGCCTTCAGGAGGCCCCCAAGAGGCTCCCAAGAGGCCCCGCGACGACGTGACTGTACGTGCTCCGGACGTGCACCCCGCAAAGCGAAAGGAATCCACGTCCGGAGGTGACGTGCTGAGCGGCACCGTTTTCTGGCGAACGCCTTAATGCAACGTATCCAATGTATCCAAAATTGCAGACTTGCAACATATTGTATTGCGTTACATTATTAGGTATCCCCCCATACCCCCCCCCCCAGGGGCTACGCCACATCCGTCGACCCAAAGTGGCCACCCCCATTTGGGGCTCAAAAACGTATGGTTCGGGACTTTGGGCCCTCTGGGAGGCCGGATAGGGCCTCAGGACGGCTCCATACGGCTTCAAGACAGGCCAAGACGGCTCCAAGACGGTCCACGATGTCCCCAAAAAGGCCCGATAAACTTCTAAGACGTCCCAATAGGGCCCCAAGAAGACACCCAAGAGTGCCTCCAGAGGCCACAATCATTAATTGCCCTATAGTTCTTGGATGATTTTAGCGTTCTCGCCTTTCTCGACTCGCAGAAGCCCATGGCCGCCCAGGCCGCCAGCAAAATTGTGCCACAAAAAACCGGAGAAGCCCCCAAAAGGGCATCCAAACGGCCCAGGAGGGCACCCCCACAAGGCTACACAACGACTGGAGTGTAATGTTATTTTTCTCCCCCTGGGCGAACTGCGGCGCAGCGCCAGCCAGGTGGAAGTTGGTCACGGCAGCGCCCATGATTAGAGCCCGCGCCGAAAGGGATGATGGGGAGGGAGTACGACAAGTTAGGTGCGCTCGCGTCAACATCTGACATCCTCCCCCTCCCTCCCATCCCTTACCATGGCGCTGATTCTCTCTATCCGCGGACGCGTGTCGTAGCGGACCTGTGGCTCCGCGCGCGTGTGCGTAGTGGGTGGTGGTGCGCGTGCGTGCGTGCGTGTGTGCGTGGTTGCGGTTGTTGTGGTGGTGGTGTGTATGTGTGTGTGCGTGTGTGCGCGTGTGCTGTGGTGTGACGTGGTGTGGCGTCTTGGTGGTTTGGTGGTGGGCCAGATGCGTACGTGCGTGATGGCGGTGGTGGTGGTGGCGGTGGTGGTGTGTGTGTGTCTGTGTGCGTGTGCGTGTGCGTGTGCGTGTGCGTGTGCGTGTGCGTGTGCGTGTGCGTGTGCGTGTGCGTGTGTATGTGTATGTGTATGTGTATGTGTATGTGCATGTGTATGTGTATTTGTATGTGTATGTGTATGTGTATGTGCATGTGCATGTGTATGTGTATGTGTATGTGTATGTGTATGTGTATGTGTATGTGCATGTGCATGTGCATGTGCATGTGCATGTGCATGTGCATGTGCATGTGCATGTGCATGTACATGTGCATGTGCATGTGCATGTGCATGTGCATGTGCATGTGCATGTGCATGTGCATGTGCATGTGTATGTGTATGTGTATGTGTATGTGTATGTGTATGTGTATGTGTATGTGTATGTGTATGTGTATGTGTGTGTGCATGTGCATGTGCATGTGCATGTGCATGTGCATGTGCATGTGCATGTGCATGTGTATGTGTATGTGTATATGTATGTGTATGTGTATGTGTATGCGTATGTGTATGTGTATGTGTGTATGTGTGTATGTGTGTATGTGTATGTGTATGTGTATGTGTATGTGTATGTGTGTATGTGTAGGTGTGTATGTGTATGTGTATGTGTATGTGTATGTGTATGTGAATGTGTATGTGTATGTGTATGTGTATATGTGTATGTGTATGTGTATGTGTATGTGTATGAGTATTGGTATGTGTATGTGCATGTGTATGTGTATGCGTATGTGTATGCGTATGTGTATGTGTATGTGTATGTGTATGTGTATGTGTGCGTGCGTGCGTGCGTGCGTGCGTGCGTGCGTGTCTGTGTGTTCGCGCGTGTGATGTGGTGTGACGCGGTGTAGCGTGGTGGTGGTGGGTGGGGTAGTGCGGTGGTGGTGGCGGTGCGCGGTGGTGGTGCGCGTGCGTGCGTGCGTGCGTTGGTGGGTGGAAGTGGCGGTGGGTGTGCGTGCGGCGGGGCGGGGCGTGGTGCGGCGCGGTGGTGGCGGGCGGATGGGCGCGCGAGAAAGAGGCCTGCGCTGGGGCGAGAGCGCCATCCTGAACGACAGGCAAAAAACCGATCCGAAAATGAGGCCCATGCTGCAGCGGGAGCACGATTCGGAATGATTCGGGAGCAGAAATGAAGCCCGCGCCTCAGCGAGATCAGCATTTCAAATAGCCTGGCGAAGGACCCAACCATATGCAGCTGCGAGTACCGCAAGGATACCAGTGTCAAGCTCCCCCCGACCTTCGGTGGAGATCCCTATGGGGCCACGAAACGTGTGAGGGGTATGCCGAAATGGGTGTTGGGGAAGCCGAAATGGGTGGTGGGGAGGCATGCGAACCCTGCCACTGGGGCCTTCGGTGGAGCTCCCTATGGGGAAACGAAGCGTGTGAGGGGTGTGCCGAAATTGGTGGTGGGGAAGCATGCGAACCCTGCCACTGGGGCCTTCGGTGGAGCTCCCTATGGGGCCACGAAACGTGTGAGGGGTGTGCCGAATGGGTGGTGGGGAGGCATGCGACCCTGCCACTGGGGCCTTCGGTGGAGCTCCCTATGGGGCCACGAAACGTGTGAGGGGTGTGCCGAAATGGGTGGTGGGGAGGCATGCGAACCCTGCCACTGGGGCCTTCGGTGGAGCTCCCTATGGGGCCACGAAACGTGTGAGGGGTGTGCCGACATGGGTGGTGGGGAGGCATGCGAACCCTGCCACTGGGGCCTTCGGTGGAGCTCCCTATGGGGCCACGAAACGTGTGAGGGGTGTGCCGAAATGGGTGGTGGGGAGGCATGCGAACCAGCCACTGGGGCCTTCGGTGGAGCTCCCTATGGGGCCACGAAACGTGTGAGGGGTGTGCCGAAATGGGTGGTGGGGAGGCATGCGAACGCCTGCCACTGGGGCCTTCGGTGGAGCTCCCTATGGGGCCACGAAACGTGTGAGGGGTGTGCCGAGATGGGTGGTGGGGAGGCATGCGAACCCTGCCACTGGGGCCTTCGGTGGAGCTCCCTATGGGGCCACGAAACGTGTGAGGGGTGTGCCGAAATGGGTGGTGGGGAGGCATGCGAACCCTGCCACTGGGGCCACTGGGGCCCCTGCCACTGGGGCCTAGCTCCCTATGGGGCCACGAAACGTGTGAAGGCTGTGCCGAGATGGGTGGTGCGGAGGCATGCGAACCCTGCCACTGGGGCTTTCGGTGGAGCTCCCTGTGGGGCCACGAAACCCCCGAAATTGGGTGGTGCGGGAGGCTTGCCGAAATGGGTGGTGGGGAGGCATGCGAACCCTGCCATTGGGGCCTTCGGTGGAGCTCCCTATGGGGCCACGAAATGTGTGAGGGGTATGCCGAGATGGGTGGTGAAAAGGCATGCGAACCCTGCCACTGGGGCCTTCGGTGGAGCTCCCTATGGGGCCACGAAACGTGTGAGAGGTGTGCCGAGATGGGTGGTGGGGAGGCATGCGAACCCTGCCACTGGGGCCTTCGGTGGAGCCCCCTTATGGGGCCACGAAACGTGTGAAGGGTGTGCCGAAATGGGTGGTGGGGAGGCAGGCGAACCCTGCCACTGGGGCCTTCGGTGGAGCTCCCTATGGGGCCACGAAACGTGTGAGGGGTGTGCCGAAATGGGTGGTGGGGAGGAGTAATTGTAAAGGAAGTGGGGGAGAGGCCCAAAAGAAGCCCCCAAGAGGCCCAAAGAAGCTCCCAAGAGGCCTCCAGGAGGCCCCCAAGAGGCTCCCAAGAGGCCCCGCGACGACGTGACTGTACGTGCTCCGGACGTGCACCCCGCGAGGCGAGAGGAATCCACGTCCGGAGGTGACGTGCTGAGCGGCAGCGTTTTCCGGCGAACGCCTTAATGCAACGTATCCAATGTATCCAAAGATTGCATAATTGCCACATGCTGCATCGTGTCACAGTATTATGTGTCTCCCCCTAACCCCCCCCCAAAGGGGCTACGCCACATCCGTCGACCCAAAGTGGCCACCCCCTCCCGCGGCTCAGAAACCTACCAAAACCTTTTCGCAAATCTATGATTTTGACCTACAGGGCCTTTTGGGAGGCCACGAGGGCGCCGAGACGGCTCAAGATGGGCTCAAGAGGGCCCAAAAAGCCCCAACGACGGCCCAAGAGGGCCTCAAGAGCGCCCTCAACTGCGCCTCCAGAAGCCGAAGTCATTGATCTTCCCATGGTTTTGGCGATATTTCAGCGTTCTCGCCTTTGCGGCCGAAGCAGCTTCCCAAATCGCCCCAGAACAACCCAAAAAGTCCCCAAGAGGGCCCCAAGACGGCCCAAGAGGGCCCCAAGACGGCCCAAAGAGGTCCTCAAAACGGTCCAAGAAGCCCCTGGGAAGACCCAAACTGACCCCAAGAGCCCCAAGGCGGCCGCGGGAGGCCCCCAAGACGGCCTCCGAGGGGGCGAAGCGGCAGAAAAACGCCCCATGACGGCCCAGGACGCCCCCAAGAGGCCCCAAGAGGCCCCCAAGAGGCCCCCAAGGGGGCCCAAGAAGCCCCCAAGAGGCCCCCAAGAAGTCCCCAAGAAGCCCCAGAAGGCCCCAAAAGGCCCCATAGAAGCCCCCCGAAACCCACACAGCGACTGGAGTGTACTGGCATTTTTCCCCGCTGGGCGAAGTGCGGCGCAGCGCCAGCCAGGTGGAAGTCGGTCACGGCGGCGCCCATGATTAGAGCTGGCGCTGAAGGGGATATGGGGAGGGAGTATGAAAATCCACGTCCAGAGGTGACGTGTTTCCGGAGGCAGGTCCGCGGAGGCTATTATGCAACGTATCCAATGTATCCAATGATTACGTAATTGCTACATCTTGTATTGTGTTGATTATTATGTACCCCCCGAACCCCCCCCAGGGGCCACACCACTTCCGCCGACCCAAAGTGGCCCCTCCCTCCTGCGCTTCAGAAACCTAGAAAATCTAACCAAAACCTGTGGAAAATCTGTGATTTGGGCCCCGTCGCCCTGTTTGGGGCCCCACGAGGGCGTCCAGACGGCCCAAGATTCATTGTGAAAGCTGGAAGCCTTTAAAAAAGAACGTGACCAGACAGCGCAAGAGCGCCCCCAAGACGCCCACACGGGGCTCCGAGAGGCCCCCAAGAGGCCTCCCAGAGGCCCCCAAGAGGCCTCACAGACGCCCTCGCGAGGACCCTCTAAGAGGCCCCAAAGAGGCCTCCAAGGGGCCCCCAAGAAGTTCCCAGAGGCCCGACAACGACTGGACTGTACGTGCTCCGGACGTGCACCCCGCGAAGCGAGAGGAATCCGAAAAAGAACGATGTCCAAAGGCAGCAGGGGCCGAAATCGAGGAACACATCCGGGGCCGAACAAAGATCGTGCCGCCAGGCATCCGTGCCTGGAGCGCGCGCGCGGGCGGCGCCGCTCCCCGCCGTCCTCCAGCTCCGCGTCCGCCGCGGCCAGGCTGGGCCCGAGGCTCGTGGTGGCGAGGAAGCCCCGGAACTCGGGTGGCCTGGGACGCCAACATTTTGGTTGACCCCAGAGGGCGTCCAGCTGCAAGGGGGTGGTGCAATAGATTTGGGACAGTTGTATTGCAAATGTATTGCCCCAGCGACTTGTACTGCATTGCATTGCAACTAACGCATTGCACGCAAAAACCAAGCAATACATCTGCGCACCAGAATGAATTGCACGTCCCAAGTCTGTTGCAACCCCACAAATCTATTGCACCATATCTATTGCACCACCCCCTTGTCGCTGGACCCCCTCTCGGGTCAACCAGACAACAGGTACCCACACGGCTACTCCACGGACCCCTCCTGGGACGCAGAAGGGCATACTGTAGGTTGATGTGTGCTGATGTTGGAAGCGCGTCGTGCGGCCCCATTTGCATCTAGCGCGCCCCACTGATGCCCGATCGCCGGAGCAAAAACCTCTGCCCAGCCGCCGACGGACGAAAGTTGGAGGCGCACGTCCGACACGAACACTTGGCAACAAATCTTGCAGCTCATCGTTTCCCCGAGCTCGGGGATGGACAGAACCCCCTTTCGCAAAACGTGGTGTAGTGAAAACGACCTTGGGCCCGAACCCGGCGGGCGCAAGCCTGGAAAACGACGGGCGCGGCGCTCCCTCGAGAACCGAAAGCGGACAACTCGCTGATCGACGTGTCAGGGTGGGGTGTCTGTCCACCCTGGAAGCCTCTGCCAAGCCGCCGACGGACGAAAATTGGAGGCGCACGTCCGACACGAACACTCGGCAACAAATCGTGCAGCTCGTCGTTTCTCGGGGGGGACGAGCGGGGGGGATAGCAAAGGGTAGGGTAGAGAATCAGCTCACGTAGCTGATTTTCCCAGCGCCTCCCCGCGCCGGGAGGCGCTCATGTATCGAGGAATTGGGCCCGGCGGCGGGGCCGAAACCAGCTGCATGCACGGATTTCGTACCCCCCCCCCTTTCCTACCCCCCCGCTTTCGCTCGGCCCGATTGGCCACAGATCCTGCAGCCGGTCGCTTCCCCGAGCGGCCTGGCCAGCAAGGTGCCCGCCGCGGAGCTCCTGCTGTGAGGTCTCTCCGAGCGTGCGCGCCGCCCCGGCGGGGCCGACGCGCACCCCTGGGTGCACGCTTTCTTGTTCGGCGGTGGGCACACCTCCCTTCCTAGTGAACCGGGAGGGAGGAGATGGAGGGCGGAGGAGGAGGGCGGAGGAGGGCGGAGGAGGAGAGCGGAGGAGGAGGGCGGAAGAGGAGGAGGAGGAGGAGGAGGAGGAGGAAGAGGAGGAGGAGGAGGAAGAGGAGGAGGAGGGAGGAGGGAGGAGGAGGAGGGAGGAGGAGCAGGAGGGAAGAGGAGGAGGAAGGAAACGGCCTAGGACCGAAACCGACGCACCTGGACCCGCAAAAATGACGGCCGCGACGCCCTCTCGCGAACCGAGAACGGCCAATTCGCTTATCGACGTGTCAGGGCAGGAGGTCTGTCAACCTCCGATTCTTGTTCGGCGTTTCGACATTGGGCGGAAGGGGGGAGGAGGGGGGGTCTGACTCTGGACCTCTGCTTAGCGCGACTGTTTGCAACAGTGCGTCCCACGGGGGACTCCACCTGCTCGAAAAACGGGCGCCAAAACAGCCAAGCTCCACTCCATGGGGGGGGAGGGAGGGGGGCGAGGGCCCGCGCCGATCGGCAAAGCAACGAATAAGAAAACGACGACTAATGCAGGTGTGCCTGGGTGGTGCCGCATCTCCCCAAAAGCGTCCTGACCAGAACTCTCCGAGGCGGACCCAGCCGTGGCGACTTGGGCCTCCTGGCAGGCCCACGTGGGCCAAAAGACGAGGCAGAGGCAGGTGGCGGCATCCGGAGCCTGCCCCCACCAACCCTCGACTCTTCTGAACCGGTGGGACCCCAGGGGTAGGGCTCGGATTTCGCAACGCGCTTCACGCATTCCGAACCCTACCCCCGCCGCCCTTCGACGAAAAGCACCCCTAAACCTTTGGGAGGGGACTTCAGTTATGAGGACAAAAAACATCAGGGATCAAAGGGGTCTTGCTTGCAGACGTACCCGACGAAACCACCTACTTGTTTAGGGAATCCCGAGAACCCATCCTGAGCTGGGCCACGCCTCCCTAGTGCCATCAGGGCTAGGGGTGCAGAATGCTTACTGAACAGAGTGCCTGAACCGTTGATCGGTGATGGCGAGGTTCGGATTTCACTAGGCGGCGCGCACGGGGGGAAGTGAGAAGGGGCGGGCTTTCTCAGAAGGCTTAGAAGGCTCATAAGCCTTCCCCGAAGACAAAAAACAACTTCTCAGAAGGCGCGGGGGCTTCTGAGAAGTCGGGCCGCCTTCTGAGAAGGCCTTCTCCTTCTCATTTCCCCCCCTCGCTCGCCGTCACCGCCAGACACTGGACGCACGGTCAACCCGTGTAGTAAGGATGCGCGAGAAGGATGCGAGGACCTTGGACCTCCTGCTCCTCCTCCTCCTCCTCCTCCTCCTCCTCCTCCTCCTGCTCCTCCTCCTCCTCCTCCTCCTCCTCCTCCTCCTCCTCCTCTCCTCCTCCTCCTCCTCCTCCTCCTCCTCCTCCTCCTCCTCCTCCTCCTCCAAGGGTCGTTGAGCGAATCGGTACCTTTTCGTCCTCCGGGCGGCCAGGCGGCGGCGCCGGGCGCCTCCGGCGGCAGGCTGCGGGCGTAGGCGTGGAACGCGTCCTCGGGCCGCGCCAGCGCGCGGCAGAGCCTCCGGTGGCAGCTCACAGGGCGCCTCCATGCCATCTTGGTACGGCAGGTTCGTGGCGCGCCGTCTTCGGCCTTGGTTTCTGACACCGCGGTAACCGTTCAACCTTACACGATAGAGACCATTTCCGAAGCATCAGATCGTTCAATATCGACCGTTCCTGGGTCGCCAGCGGCGTTCAACCTTGAACGCCGACTGCGGGGTCGCCGCCAATCGACATGACGCGAACCTACTGTAGTCCCCAAACGTAGTGGTGACAACACCCAGCGGTGAGTCTAGGCGATTTGATATCACCACCCGGTTTGAGGACTCGCGTGGTTCTTCGAGGATGTCCCGAACGCGGGTGGGTCCAGGAGTCGCAAAACCCAGCGGTGACCCCGTGTTCCAAAACCTGGCGGTGCCTTTTTGGAAATTCCAAGTCATCACCTGATATCTCACCACCTGGCTTGGGGTCTCCCAACCATCGGGGAACCAGCATTGACATAAACATAAAAGCTCGGAGGTCCGCGCGGATCTCTTGGATCGGCGCTGGAGCCCTCTGGCAACGCCCTGGCGCCTCTGGCGCTGGTCCAGCGCCGATCCGAGAAATCCGCGCGGACCTACAAGTTGAAATGTTTGTGTCAGTGCTTGCTCCCCGAATCTTACTGGCTCTTGCGAAATAGACGCTAACCAACGCTGACCGACGCCAATCGACGCGAGTCGACGCTACATCGAGGCTAAACATGTGTGCTGCATCGACTATCAGACGCTAGCGCGCTGTAATGCCCTGGAAAGACAGAACTACGAGGACACGCAAGGCTCCCACGATTGGCGGCGCGCACAAGGGGGCAGGGGCAGGGGGGAAGGCTGCTTAGGAGGCTGCTTCTTAGAAGACGCCATCCCTACATCTGTAGACAAGAGCCGCGCATTCTAAGAAGCAGGGGTGTTTCTAAGAAACCTTCCCCCCTCTCCCTAACCCCCCTTCTGCGCGTGGCCGACATGATTCGCTGCTGAAAGAGCCGCAGGCAGAGCAGCAGCTCGGGCCGCTCCCGCTCCGACCACTCCCGCAGCAGCTGCGCGACCTGCGCCACGACGCCGTCCTGGGCGGCCGCCTCGCTCGTCAAGAAGAGGCGGGTCGGCAGCGAGAAGGCCACCTCTCTGGGTAGAAGAGTACCCCGGCGAAGGACCTCGCCATACAGACAGACCGGGGTATAAAGATCGAGGTCGGCTCGGGGAGGGCATCCTAGTGCTCGTCATGTGTGTTGGATGTTCCTGTGCATCCTGGGGGAGGGTGCCCTCGAATCCTCTTCATTTTGGCGAGCGGAGGATCTCATGCTCTTGAAGGATGAACTTCTGTCCTAGGTCCGACTGTCTGCAAGCGCGAATACCGTGAGGCAAATGGGACGAAGGATGGGATCTCCCCATGCTGGGGGCGCGCAAACATGGATTAGCGATCCATGGATTTGGCGCGCGGTCGCCAAATCTATGGATCGGGAGAGGTGCCCTCCCCAAAATGCGGCCAGTGCTGCCTGCTGCCTCATTCGGCGGCGGAAATCCGCGATTTCCCATGGAAACGGGACCCGTCGCTGTTTGCGATCGCCTGTCTATGGGGCCACGAAGCGCGTGAGGAGAGTGACGACACGGGCCGTGAAACGTGAGAGGGGTGCGCCGCGCTCGACGGGAAGAGGCGGGTCGGCAGCGAGACGGCCACCCCTCTAGGCAAAACGAGCATGATCACTCTCTGAGATCTGGGCGCTGCATCTTTTTACACTGGGCGTCTGCGTTCGGTTTTCAGTCCCCGGGACCATCACAGATCGATCCGGCTCGAAGGATGCTGCAGAAAGATGGGGTCGATGATTCTGGTCATGATTTGTGGCGAGATTGCGTTTTTTTCGCAACGTCAGATTTCAGGGTCATTACTGTGAGAAGGCGAAAACCCGCCCCCACCCCCAGTCCCGACCCCATCCCCGAACCCGCGATTCAAGGAGTCGGGACTGGGGGTGGGGGTAGGTTTTCGGGGTCCAGGAAGGAAGAAAATCCGCCCCCATCCCAGTCCCGAACCCCTGAATTGCCGGCTCGGGGATGGGCGTCGGGACTGGGGGGTGGGGGTGGGTTTCCGCCTCCTGATACTGTGCTTCGAACGAGGCCCACCCGAGAACGCGAGGCGGGATACCAAGGGAGCAGCGGGCCCCCTGGGCGCCTGGCGGCCGCAGTGTACAGTCGTCACTCGTCAAAGGCGCGAGGCGGGATACCCCGGGAGCACCGGGACCCCCCTGGGGCCTGACTCCTTGCACCGACCTTGCAGACGTGCTGCAGCGGATTTTCGCGCGGATTCCTGTCAATGCTGGTCCCCGAAACGGCGAGCGAAAGACGAAATTAATTTCACGTGGATTTGTTGCAGTCTTCATTCCTGGCCGGAAAAAAAAAACGCACGAATCCAGGCCCATCCCAGTGTTTTCCGAACGAAATCCGCTTTGCGATGTTGGCGCCACGAGGCCTGTGGCCGCGGCATGCACTGAGCGAGACAAGTCGGGAGCTCTTCTCCTGAAGTCTAAGCGAGCGTTTCTTTATGTTCGGCGATAACGGGCGTCTTGGGGGGGGGCGGGGGGGGTATGACGTAACGCCCCCCCTCCGCCATGTGGCTCCGGCACCACAGCCGCGCCCGCGCGCACGACGCGGCGAGCGACAAGCGATGACGACAACGACGCGAGCAGCATGTAGGTGGCAATCTGCCCCCCTGCGCCTGCGTACACCACAATACTCGCGTGCACCACAGCACGCATGTACACCACAGCGCCTGCGTACATCGCAACAGCCGTGTGCAGCGCAACGCCTGTGTACACTGCAGTGTTTGCGTACACTATAGACCCGGTGTACATGTGCACACCGGAGGCAACCATGTGCAACACAACGACTGTGTACACCACAGTGCTTGCGTGCACCGCGGCGCCTGTGCACGCCACACGCCACAGCGCCTGTCTACACCACAACATCCGAGTGCAACGCAGCGCAATTGTACACCGCAGTTCCTGCGTGCATAGGACAGGTAGAAGGAGCCTGTACGTGAGGATCTGCTGCGGAAGCGCCACGCCAGGAAACTGCTGATAATCGAATGCGACGTTTTTCCCTCTTCCCTTCCCCTCCACTTCCACATCGTCCTCCTCTTCCTCCTCCTCGTCCTCCTCCTTTCTCCCTTCCTCCTCCTCTTCCTCCCCCTCCTCCTCCTCCTTACCCCCTGTCGTGCGGGTTGGCGCTACAGCGCACGTGCGCAACTCAGCGTGCACCGCAGAATGGTCTATTGAATCGGCCCACTTGGTTCTCGGACGGCCAATGTAGCTGGATCCTCCTGGACGTAGATGAGAGGAGTTACGGTGATGCGGGCGAACTCGGAAGGACTCGTAGATTCATTCCCCTGGCGCTCCCTTGTCCATAAAGATTGTTGTCTTGTGTTTTCGGTGGAATCCACAAACGATCCATTTTGTCATAATGATTCCTTCCAACATTGTACATACAATACTGGTGTTGTGTTGCACACGGTTGCTGTGATGCACACAAGCGCCGTGGTGCACACAGGCCTAGCAATGCACGCAAGCATTGTGGTGTACACTGCTGTGTTGCATACGGTTGATGTGGTGTACGCAGGCGCTGTGGTGTACACAAGAGCTGTTCTGCCCGCGCGCGCGGTGGCACAAACTGACGCTGTGTCGCACGCGGCTGCCGTGGTGTACATAGGCGGTGTGGTGTACACAGGCGCTGTGGTGCACGCAGGCACTGAAATCTACACAAGCGTTGTGGTCCAGATCGCCACCTACATGCTGGTGCCACCCGTCCTCCGTCATTCCTAAGCATTCCCAGGCGCCGCCGGCGCGAAACGTGACGCCATCGACCCCGTCCACCCCCCCCCGAAATCATTGCCGTCATCGGCCCGGAATAAAAAAAAAACAGGCTCCAGCCGCGTCCGCGCGCACGACGACGATGAGCGACGAGCGACGAGCCACGAGCCACGAGCGACGACGACGACGACGACGTCGACAACGACGACTGCGGACCAGACTCCTATGCTGATTCCTACGCGGACACCTACGCGGATTCCAATACGCACGGCGGCAGTGCCAGGAGCGCCCTGGGGGGGGAGCGTTACGTCATAGGGGGGGAGGCGGGGGCCATGACGCCCGCCATGCCCCAAGCAATAAAGAAATGGTCTCTAACAACTCCGACCTATCGGGTGCAGAGACCTGACCGTCCGTCGGAAACCTGTCGGGAGCTGCTATATTGTGATCCGACTCGGCGACTGCTTCCTTGTTCTTGGACGACTCCCTCAGTCGACCCCGGCCACGATCAATCCCACATGAGGCCCTCGCGGCGGAAAATCCTAGACCATGGGATGGACACATGGGGATATCTGCGTAGGCAGCACACGCGCGACTGTCTTCGTAGTTGACCGCGACTTCCTGCGTCGCTCACGTACCCATCAAGCGAAAGAAGTGGGTGGGAACATGAAGTCGGAAAGGCGTTGCAGGTAGAGATTCGATCTCCGCCCGCCTCCCTGAAGAGGCAGGAAGAGGGAAACCCGCTCGATCCTGGACGTAGGGGGGCGCCTAAAGTAGACTGGAACCTGGGAGTCCAAAAATGCCGACTCCGACTCTTTGAAACATCGGCCCCCCAGCGCCCTTCCCCCGTGGAATGCCAGGGGGGGTTGGCCGTGGCGCGTCCGTGGGGTGGCGGGGGGGGGGCGGATTCGGGGGGTGCTCCTGGCCAATTTGCCCCCCTAGGTGGGGACACAGGCCGTACCCTTCGGGTTTCGAGGGCGTACCCCTAACTGGGGAGTAATTTGGCGGGGGTCTCGAAGGGGATGGGGATGGGGATGGGGGTCCGTTAAACGATACTCGGCGGTGGACAAACCTCCCTTTAGTAAAGCACCCTGTAGTGAAAACGGCCTATGACCGAAACCGACGGGCCTGGACCCGCAAAAATGACGGCCGCGAAGCCCCCTGGCGAACCGAAAACGGCCAATTCGTTAATAGACGAATCAGGGTAGGAAGTCGATCCACCTCCGAGATATACTTACCTGACGTGACGTTGCCCCTGACCCCCCCCGAGGGGCCTCGCCCGCGCCAATAGCCCGGCGCGCAAACGCACCGAGGCCGCCCGCCGCCGCGTCGGGCCGCACCTCCACGGCGTCGAAGGCGGCCCCGCCGCTCCGCAGCCAGGGCTCCAGCGCCTACAGGGGAGGAGGGACCGACCGTCTGGCATTCCTGTAGGCCTACCGCGACGTGCTCTTAGAACCTAGAACAAGGTTCTTAGAACATAAACCCGATGTGTTAAAACAAGACAGTACCAGCCAGAAATATTCTAAGAACACTTCGTGGAAACCACAAAAGGTTCTTAGAACACTGTTTGGTAGGCCTATAGGCACGCCGAGACGTTTCCCACTGCTTGATGCAGGGGAGGGCGCCCAGGGGCACGCAGAGAAGCAGACACGGATCCCAGGAGTCCCAGCATTTTCCCATATTTGGTGGTGCGCACAAGGGGGTGGAGGGAAGGGGGACGGCTTCTTAGAGGGCGCCGGCCTTACATCTATAGATAAGGCCCGCGCCTTCTAAGGAGCAGGGGTGCTTTTAAGAAGCCCTCCCCCCTCCCCCCACCCCCATCTGAGCCGCCGTCCCGGATCGAGGCTTTGGGTGCAGCGCCCAGGTACCCTGTACCTCCGCCCTGCGAGCCTCTCCTCGGGACTGCTGCCATACGTGCCCGCCCGCCGCGCTAGCGCGCAGCAGGGCAGCCGTGATTCAGTCGTCTGCCACGGAGACAGGCAGACGAAAGCGGGTGGACCCCGCGTGGCACAGACGACAGCGCCAGGCTCGCAGCAGAGCTAGAGTGCTAGTCCAAGTTGCCGCAGCAGCAGAATTACTACGACAGCACCATTCGAGTTCAATGGGTGCTAGACAGGGATCACGACAGTTTCAGAACAAAGGGGGAGGCACAAAGTCAGTGCCATGGCAGCGCACGCAACAGAGTTTCAAGAAACTATGGGAATGTCCAGCATGCGCATGTGCCAACCCCTGGGATTCGTACACATTAAAAATTGTTTCCCCTCCATGTCTCAGCAGTCGAGTGAGCGACCATGGCTCACGAGATCAGCATCGCGTGCCCCGAGAAGACGAGCCGCCACAGCTCAGCCGACACATGGTGATGCAGCGAAATCGACGGCAGGAGATCAGCAAGAGTCCCATGACGATCTCATACCTTTGTTACCGGCCACGCCTGAGATTGCCACCAGTCACAAAAGATGGAGGGATACGCCAGAGGATCCTAAATTGCTGGGAGAATATCGCAAAGCTCTAACATCCACCATGGAGTCGTTGGAGAGACAGATTCGTTGTGCAGATGCTCTCACATTTGATGCCCAGCAAATTTCGGCTTTGCATGAAGAATATGCAGTTGTGTTGTATCAGCTCATGCACAGCCGTTCGCCACAGGCAAGAGTGACCAAACAAAGGTTATTCGTCAATCGGTGTCGCAGACGCCTGACAGATGCCACTGCGACGTTGAATATATTGTATGAACAGATCGACGCAGCGGAAGTCCAATGTCAGCATTTGCAAGAGGAAGTTACACAGGCAGAGCGGTTGCTTGAGCACTTCGAGGAGCTCGAGGATTCGCTACCAGTCATGTCAGCAAGAGCAGCTAATGATCAAGAAGACGATGATGACATTCGCATGGCCGAGGACGATGGTCCCGCAGGGCACTTTCGACCAGGACATAGAGCTCCAACACCTCAGTCGCCAGGTAAGGCATCAGTTGCCTCAACTGCAGCGACCACTCCCTCGCGCACAGGCCATCACGCATGGCCCATGGCGTCAGGGAAAGGAGCCAGCCAAGCAGATGTAGCAGCCACCCCTACGAGGGCCGCTGCGCAGCCTCATCAGCAGGTAACACCACCTGGAGAGGCCCAGTCTGCGGCAGCGAATGACATCGCCGTGCCCACACTGCTCGCAGCACTCCAACAGAGCAATGCGCAGCTGCTCGCCAACATGAGGAACTTCCAGACCGCCGTGACCACGCTGCAGACGGAGATCAGCACGCTCAGGACGGAGAAGGAGGAGGACATGAACAAGATGCGCCAGGCCGCAGTGGAGGCAGCCCAGCAGGTCATGGCGGCGCAGTCGAACGGCCCCAAGAAGTACCAGCAGCCCACCGACCCCAGTGGCCCAGCAGGCAGGTCGCGCCCGCATGGCAGCGCTGCGGCGAGGCCGCGGCACAGCGAGATCAGCATCCCCGCGTCGACATGAAGATAGTGGGCAAGCAGGTGCCAAGACCATGCGCGCAAGCACGGCAGGAGAAGGATCGATGGGAGCAGGAGCAGCCGACATCGCCCAGCGAGAGGCCGCCCAGGCGGAGGACGCAGCCGGGCAGCCTACGGGGGCTGAAGCCGAGCCTGCAGGCAAGGATGACAGCGACAGCGAGCTTTTGGCCGCTGTTGCTGCCGCGCCAGCCACCGCACCAGTTTTTCGCTAGGGGTCGTGTCAGGAGCGTCTCGACCCGTCTTGAATTCAAATACTCCCATCCAAGATCCTGATTTTCCAGCTAGCCCATTCCCCAGTGAAGAGGACAAGCCAACGGAAAATCGCTCAGAGCACCTCGGATACCAGATTCACAGCTACCCAGTGGAATCAACACCAGGTGTCCCCTATTCTCCCATACCACCGCTCCACTCTACCAAGAAGTTGCTAGAGAAGAAATGGCCCATCCAGCTTTCCAATGACTTGCTGTCGTGGGCTCAGTTTTGGCATTCATCTACAGTCTCAGCCTTCGCCAGTCTTGTTCCTTTCGACCCGAAGGCCCAGATCGACCATCTCAAGATATACACAGATGCGACGGCAGGGACCTTCAAACATCAGGGGCAGATGTGCTCACCAGCATGGTGTTCTTGCTGTCACCACTCTCGGGGTCTCTTTCCTAGGATATCTAGCTGGTCCTTTGCAGGGGTGGGATGCTTCTGATGCGAGAGCCCCGTTAAGAGCTGAGCTGGAAGCGGCCATTTGGGCCACAGCTTGGCTTTTGCAAGCACCATTGCGTTGCAGACAAGCTCCGGTATGCTTTAACACAGATAATATGCACGTACTCCGTATATACCAAGGAGGATATGTGCATGGCGTGCTGCTACCTGCTAAGACACTACTTGACAGTCTTACTCAGATCATACGTGCGTGTGTGATTGTGGTGGCGTACGAGCACGCGCATGGACACACTGCACATCCGTGGAATGAGTGCGTGGACACGCTCGCGCGCCTGTACGCCATGCGTGTATTGCCTGATTTCATCGAGCCTGCGTGGAGATCCCTCATACATCAGGACCCCCACCAGAAGGCCCTACCTTGGATTTGGTTACTTTTCTCCGACTCCAGCACCCGACAGGCATACCCACCCGACCACGGTACGCCTCTTCCTACGCCTCAGGTCCCCACTACGGGTATTCGGGAAATCTTACCGATCCCCAAGAGACCCCCACGAGGCCGACATGTGTTTGCCATGGGCTGGATGGCCATGGCCAATGTGCTCTCGCTGGACCCCCGAGCCTACAAGGGTTCCCGGGTTCCCGACAGGCACACGACAAGTTTCAAGGTTTTAACGCCACAGGCCGCATGATGCAGCTGGCGGGGCAGTTTGCGCAGCGGCCCTACTTCATAGTAGGCACAGTTGAGACGCGTCTCAGACGGACAGGCACCTCCGAGCTTGGCCCGTACTTTTTGTTGCACGCCCAGGTTAACGACTCCGGAGGGGATGGCTGTACTGTATGGATCAACACGCACTGGGAGTACCAGGAGGGATGCAATGTACAGCCTTCTCACTGCCAGGTGCTACATGCAGCGCCAGATATCATGATCGTGGCCGTAAGGGCCCCTTCGCTCTCACTTTGTGCATGTGTTGCTCATGCTCCGCATTCGCGCCGACCCCCGGCACACATACGACAATGGTGGAAACAACTACAGCAGCTCATTACACGGTACAGAGAGACTGCAGAGCATGTTGTTACACTGATCGATGCCAATGCAGCAGTGGGATCACACACAGATGCACATGTGGGGCCCATTCATGCGGAGCCTGAAAACCTACCAGGGCACAGTTTCCGCATGTTCCTCCAGGGCAGCCCAATGGGCTCCATCCACCTTCTACGAAGACCCCTCGGGATCTGCAGGTACCTGGACGGCCCCAGGAGCACGCACCACACCTAAGAAGCGTGACTACATAGCGGTGTCTTTTGATATACGTGTGCCTGCGCAAGGAGTCGATCACGGCATCGACCTCACTGTCACGCAGCCAGACCACAACGTGGTGGCAGCATGCTTGCTTTTCCCACCGTCCAGCTTCGCGCCAACAGCACCGAGGCCCTACAAGGTGCAGCACGATCCTGCCATGTACAAGGATCCAGTGTCCGCCAGGCTATTCCAACACTTGCTTACGCAGTTCCGACAGCCCGACTTTGCAGTACACAGTACAGATCATGCCAAGGCCTGTGAAGAATACGTGAGATACGCCATGGAGACAGCTTTTCCAGTACGTACGACGGCGGCGGGACGGCAGCCTCGGCAATCTTGGATCAGCACCAGCACACTCGGTATGCAGGATGAGCGAAGCATATACTTACGCCTAGCTCGCAAGATCGGGCTGCAGGCTCACAGAGCCATGGTACGTATCATCTTTTTTCGCTTGGCAGCTGCATTTTGCAACAACAGAGGCAGATCCTGAGAGGCCACGTGGCCCTAGCAAGAGAACACGTATGCCCTGCTTGCCTACGCTAGTAAGACGCACGCGGAAGCTACAGCAGCCATGCCTCCTCCTTCCGCAAGCAACGGCATCGCTCTTGTGCCGAGAAGCCGACATACGCACGCAGCAAGGCAACGGGAGAGGCATAGGCAAGCCACGCTTACTTGCGCACTGGGGTCATCAAGGGGTCACGGCCATCATACTACCTCCCCCTTTCAAACCACAGGAGTATCAAACGGGACATGGGATGGAGACGGGAATATGGGACTACATTACCTGTTGCTGGGACTGTGCGCATGGAGTGCGTGCTTGTGTTCTAGCACATCGTGAGCTGCTCCTTTTTCACACTACCCTATTGACCCGACATGCGACTATGCAAGATGCCATGCAGCACTACAACAACCTTCTGCAGGGAGTTTCGGATGCATGGGACCGCAGGCAGTATGATCAGGTGTT